CCCCAAAACCCCAAAACCCCAAAACCCCAAAACCCCATATTGCAAAATCACATCATTATAAGATAAATAAATTTCAGGAATACAAATAAGTTGTAAATGTCTTTAAATAATCATAAAAGCACATCTTTTAGATTTGTAATCTCAATAGCAATAACTTTAATTCTATCACCATCAATTACCATCAAATGCTGCTAATCTATTTGAATACACTTTTTCATTTCAGCAAATTTTTCCAATTCACCACTTTTGTTCTTTTTGGCTTCTAAATCCAACTTAATCTAGGCTTTGAAGTGCTTGCCTGTGGTTATTTAAATAATATGCACTTCAATGATTGTTTTCAAAAGTAAAAATGGATATAGCTTGTAATTATAGTCTTGAATGAGTTAAGATTGAATCAAACTCTGATTCGAGTCAAGTTTAAATTGCTTTATAGGTGATGGCACAAATTTTTACTAGCTTGATGCTTGCTATAATATATAGTCAAGATTCCATATTGAAAGATAGCCTTGCATTGTGCAAGTCAGAATCAGATCCTCATCCTGAGTGGATAACTATTATGCTGATACGACGAAAGAATTGTGAGGTAACTCATAAACTTTAGACATATTTGCACCTTGCAGTTGCCAGATAGTAGCAAATTTATCATTTGAAGATGATATTACTCTATATTTAGATATTATCTGGATATTATTGATCTTTTGCTTGTGCTAATGGCTTTTATTGCAGGCAAGACTATGATTAACAGAGTCCCAAATTTTAAGAGAACCTTGATTACATGAAGACATGAAATATCTATTATCAATAGATAGAATGCAAGTCAATGCCTCTTCATTGCCTTAAGCATATTTTTATAGAAGCTAAAATCCATTGTATATATCCCATAAACCTATCATTTAATCGTATGATCCAGTTAATAACATTTTATTATGCTCAGCCATGCAGGAGATGAATCCTGTATGAAATGTTTGGATTGACCCTGCTTGCTCATAATCACTATCAGTATCATAAATATTAAGATATTGTTTGTTGCCCAGTGGGATGTGCTAGGCTACTACTACTAGCTAATTGCTGAGCATTATTAGTGTTTGATTATTATGCTACGTTTGTATCTCAGCCTCTTCCCCTGAATCTAAGTCCCAGTTTCTCACCCTTCGCTCTCTCTCACTTTTCATGTATAGTTCAAGATCAGACTCAAGTTTTTTTAGGCCAATTTATGTATCACTATGATGATTAACTAGCTGTTCTTGTCTTTGTTTAAGTATAGTTGAATGATCTTTCAGAGACTCAATATCTATTTCCTGCTCTTTTAACTTTTCGTTTAAGCTTTGTATTTTTTAATCTACAATGATTTAAATGGACTAGATCTAGGAGTCAAATTACAAGAACTCAATCTACTGTTTATCACTAACTTCACTGTTCTTAGCTAACATTAGCTCTTATATCTCATTTATTTTCTTTTCTAAATACTTTTAAGAAGTCTAAGAATCTCTTTAGAACTCAACAATTTATGAAGATAGCTTTTAATTTACTACTGCTTCCAGGTCAAGTATTTTCTTGTTCAAATCGTTTATCTTCTAATTTTGCTCTTTGTCAATGTCAACTTGAGTCTTTTTCAGAGTTTACTTGAATTTGCCTTCTACCTCACTTGACTGGGTTCTTAATTTTTCAAATTCAAATACAAAGTCCTTGAACTAATTGTTCAACTGCTGGATAGAAGTTTGATCTTTTTACAATTGCTGCTTCATTTTTAGTAAACCCTCAATAGTCTTAACAATCTCATTTTGAGACTTTTTCAATTCTTGAAGATCGTCATTGGAATTGTACTTTGGTAGCTATTCTATTTAAGGAATGATTTCTTGTTCCAAGTATATGATCTTGTTTGTAGCATATTCTAATTCTTGTTTATTAAACGATCTGAAGTTTTCCATTTCGGTGTTAACCAGATCTTTAAGTTGCTATTCCATGTCTATCAAGTGAGCTGATTCTTATTACTTTTTATAGAAATAACTGACTTGCTTGAAGTTCAAGATGTCTTAATTGAAATCATAGATAACTCTGGCTATATAATCTTTCCTATTATCGTAGTTAATGAGCTGCTTGATGTTATGTTAATTTATGAGTTTGGCTATTGAATTCTCAAATTCCTCTATATTTATTAAAAGCTCTTTCTACTTATAAAAAGGATCAGTAACTAACTGTTTTAGTTCTTGATCCAAAGTACCCCAGCTAATATAATCTACTCCTTGCATGATATTTCTTATTCTAAGTCTTTATTCCTAGAAGTAATCACTCCATGATGCTTTCTTGAACTCAACGAACTTATCTATCTACTCAAATTAGTGGTCTTGATGTTTCGGATCCCTAAAGCACTTTTCACACAGCTTTTTCTCACAATTTCTGCAATAGAGTGACTACTTTAACTCTGGATGCAGATTACAAATGGGATTCTCTTTGGGCACTAGGTTCAGCCTCACCTTAAGAGAGCTATTTTCAAGCAAAGATGACATACTGCTATCTCTATTAAATGGCTGATTGGTGCCTTCAATCTCTTCTTTTTGATTTTTTTGAGGACTTGCTGTTCCATTATTGATGGAAACTCAATTCTAGGATTAATGCATATCACTGAGAGAGTTATCTAGTGAAGAATCCATATTCATTTGAGCTTCATTGGTTGGAGAGCCTAGAGTCAAATCCATTTCACCTTCTGGTCTCATAGACTAATGAGGTTCTTGTACCACATTCATAACTGAATTTATCTGCAGCTATTTTAAGTCCTCCGATTTCATTGTCGATGTCTAAGCTCTTTCAAAAGGTGATTACGATTTTCTAGAGGTATTGAATTTTTCAGGTGTTTTCATAGTATTGCTCTTTGCAGTGTCTTTCTTTGCAGTACTAAACTATATGGTGTTAGTCCTCTTTGCTGGCTTAGTAACTGTATTTCTTGAAACTGATCTGCTGTTAGATTTGCTATTAGAGTTCATTGCGATTATTATAACTTAAATTTTATTTTTATCAGCCAAATCCATCCAAATTTAATTGAGAAACTTGGGGTTTTGGGGTTTTGGGGTTTTGGGG